CTATATTTTTTACCAAAACAAAAATCCCCTTGGTGCAAATTTAGTTCTTCCTTACAATATTTTGCATTTCTACTCCATGTTTCTAACATGTGGTTCTTGTTATCTTGCATTTTTAAAGCTTGCCCAGTAACACTTTAAGGTATTTGCTTCATTCTTAGAATTTCTTATTTTTTGTAGTAAGGGAAGAATCTGGGTGATTTTTATTTTATGTTAAAACAAACAAACCCCTCTCTCTCTCTCCCCCGTGACTTCCACACACTGCACAAAACCTGGTGTAACCTCCTCAAGAAAGTGAAATTTTAAAGTGGTGTGTGAAATGACAGGGTCATTTTTATTGTTGTTTTCTTTAGTCCCTGCTGGCAAGCAGATTATTTTGGACTCGAGTTGGCAGGGAAAAAGTTTCAGTTCACTGAATCAATTTCCTTTTTTTCCTGGATAAAATAAATACTTTCCCTAAGATTTTTGTTTTCACAAGTCATCACTAGGTAGTTAGCTCACGTTTGACATGAGCTCCTTACGTTTGCTGTCTCTCATATGAATCCTACAACAAACGCTGGTGAAGCTGAGAGCATCCGTGGGGTTGACTCTCAGCTGATGCTGGGAGCAAACTGTGACCCACACTTAGGGGTCAGTGGGTAGTGATAGGTACCTGCTGGGTGTGCGGGTTCTCCAGTTTCAGTGTTTTTGGGGGCCTCCAACAGAGGTGTAAGGCACAGGTCCTGGAGAGGCTGCCCTGTAAGAGGAAAAAACAATGCTACAGTACAGGGACCTTTTTCCCCTCTTGTTTCTCTCCCCTGGTGTTACAGTTTTCCAGACTCCTATATTGAATTTGTAAATATTTATTTATATGCTCACAAACTGTTTGTCTTTTTCAACCACCTAAATGCTTGTGGTTGGTTGAAACCAAGCCAAATAAATGGCAAATTAACCATATTTGTACAAAAAGCATGTTTGCTCTTGATCTCTAAGATGAAGGTCTGACCAAAAAGTGGAAACACTGACTAAATAACAAGTTCTTGAGCAGGAGATGAGTCACTGGGGTTTCCATCTGCCCTTCTGCAGCTGCGGTTATAGCAAAGGGAAGCCTGGGTGAAGTCTCAGGTACAGGAGAGCTCGTGAGCAGCAATTTCCAGCTGTACTTTCTCATTTCTCCTGCCTTACGTAAACGCTGGATTTGCAGCTCGATGGCTTGGAGGGGGCAGCTCTGCTCTGCTCGGTCGGCCGTGTCCCACGCGCTGCTGGCACGTTTCTTTCCCACACCACCACCCTGCGCTTTCGATCCAATTCAGCAAAGCATTTAAAAACATGGGTTAGGCTGGAGCCTGGACATAATCCTGCTGCAGGACACGGAGATTGCTGTCAGGCTTTTAGTGCTTTGCTGAATCAGGGTGAGTGAGATCTATTAAATGCCGTTGCCCTTTTGGTTTTTGTTTTCAGAAGTGTAACTTGGATTTGAAGGCAGGAGCGTGCAGTCTGCGATTTGTCGTGTTTCTGCTGATATTAATTCTCTCATTGTAAAAACACACCAAAACCAAAATGGATCATTTGGTTCTTGTTTGGTAACTGCATCAGCTTTTCTTAACCCCAGATTCTCCACTTGCTGCTTCCATTCCCGAGTATAATCTGAACAATGAAAGAATTGCATTAATTGTGCTCTCATTGTTTAGTTTCCTATTTATCTAGAGTCAGTGAGATTTCTTGTATTTCATGGTCTGGGTATCGTGGCTCTCACTAACTGCAGACACTGTGGATAGGAAAACTTTTCCCTTGGACTGTGATCATCTAAACTGAGGTGTATGGAATTGTACAGAAAACTGGCTGCACCTGCAGAAGCCCAGAGAGTTGACACCTCATTGTTGGGCACTGTTTGGTGCTCTGAAAAGCAAGTTTCTCTCCTAGATAAGTGAACGGATTTTTGAGTAGGTTTTTGGTTTGTTTGTTTGTTTGTTTTAAAGAAACAAACCCCACCCCCCAAAAAAAACAACAAACAAACAAAAACCCCAACAAAACAAAAAAAACCCCAACAAACAACCAAAACCTTTAAGCTTGTAAGAAGCTTTGGCAGCAGTAGTCCTGACAGCAGAGGACAGTTACTCCTCTGTGTGCATTGTGCGACCCATCAGGAAGACTCGTCAGCATCAGTGTGAGGATGTCAGAAATACGGCGCCTTAGGATGACTCTCAGGAAAGGATTTGTAGGCAGAGGTCATGTCTCTTATTTAAAACTTAAAAGGTTGGAAGCCTGGACACATGTACACAGCAGGGGTCTTTTGAACCCTTCTTCCATGAAATAAAACAAATCCCACGTGGTTTTGTGCTGAAACAGTAGTTGTTAAAAGCCCAGAAACTCTCAAAAGTTTGTGTTTCAGGAAATAATGATGTTACTGAGATTAGTGAGGACCAGCTGATATTTCCAGCATCATCAACGCTTTGCATGACGACTTGTACAATGAGCTTTGCATGTATGTTTTGTTGCTTGTTAATAATATTCAAGAAGTAACAAAACTCTGAAGTTAGGTTTTGTGGAACACTGTGCAACATGTTTGTTTATCCTGTATCTCCCCAGTCTATTAACTTGCTTCTTTAAATTCAAATGGCTACGATGATATGCAGATTCTGGCATGTACCACCTAGGTAAAGTTTTTGCTTTGTTTCCCCAGTTGTAACATCTGAACTGTTTGTACATTTATAAAATCTCAGTCAAGTACAGAACTGACATTTGCTTTTTAAGAACCACTTCTTACATAGTCTGATACTTGAAATTAAACTTCTTTAGGTGGCTAAAGTAATCTATTCTTTAGATGATTTCTGGTTGTATTTGGTTTTCTTTTAGAGAATCAACGTTTGAAAACGAAATTGATGAAGAGAGAGCATCTTTACAAAAATCCATCAGTGTTACTAGTGCCTTGATCACACAAAAAGATGAGGAACTGGAAAAACTCAGAAACGAGGTAAATGAACAGTGGGATGCTTCTTAATTTCAGATTAAGTTATGGCTAGAAGCGTATGGCTTTGTGTGCTTGTCACTGGAGAGCTGGCTAATTCTTTATTAATTTAGCATAGTTCATTAAACCCTAGAATTAAATCTTGAGGTATCTGTGCCTACTTAGGTGATTTCTGGCATATTTTTTGATGGCTATTTAGTCCTTACTGGTAAGGGTGTGGCCTTGTGAAGGCCTAAGCATTCTCTCAACTAATTCTTACAGATCACGGTGCTCCGTGGAGAAAATGCTTCTGCAAAAACCTTGCAGTCAGTGGTTAAGTCACTGGAGTCCGATAAATTGAAACTTGAGGAAAAGGTGAAGAACTTGGAGCAAAAACTCAAGGAAAACAACGAAAAGCCTTTAACTGTAACTGGCTCCTCAGGTAAAGAGGGAACCTCTTTCCTGTCTCTGTGCCTTTGATCTTGATTTCTGCAGCCGTTACCTGGAGGTTGACCTAACAGCCTCCTGAGGAATGTGACTTCCCTGTTGTAGGACACACATAAGACTTGAATGAAGGAAAAAATCTGACCAGCTGCAAAACGTGAAAGCTACTGACACTGCCAGTTAACCCCGTGTGCGCTGGGGCAATTCAACTTGAAACCAGTGCACAAACCATAAACCTTTGTCCTCTCTGTGGTGGGGCTTCTGTGCAAGAGCCTCTCTTACACCCCCTGTTGTTCTTCCTTCCCAAAGCAACGTGTGGGCATCGCAACAAAGCCGCCTCCCTGAGCGCAGGACGGGGAATCCCACGTTCTAGACGCTCGTGCTCACCTTGTGCTGAGCTGCTCCTGCAGTCTCACCTCTCACTGAGGAGGTTCCCGTGCAGATCTGTGAACATTAGCTGTTACTTACACATACATTTTTGTATGTTAATAAGCAACGTGCAGTACTGAACATGCTTCTGGAATTGAGTGGTCAAAACATTCCCCCAGAAAGTCGCCCTTACAAAGTTTATAGGGTGATTTTCAAGTAGTGAGAACAAGATGTTTTGGAGACTAGAGACTGTTGCGTACGTTGGTCTCTGACTAAGCCACTGCATGTTTCATAATTCAGATGACTGAACACTCACACCTTGTTTGGTTTTTGTTTTTTCTTTAAAGGTGACATTGCTGCTAATCTACTTCAAGATGAAATTGCAAAAGAGAAGCAGGTATTTGATCTGAAACAGCGCGCTAAAACACCAGAGTGTCTATAGGCAGAGGGAAATATTTTTCCAAAGACAGCTCCTGTCAGATTTTGTACCTCAGGGTTAAAATGGGCAGATTTATCTTGTAACTTTCTGCTTCTGAATGGAAGTACCAATGGCAGGAGACAGTGAGAATCGAGTGCTGAGTTACACTGGAAAAACAGTTCAGGCTATTGGAACACGAGGAAGCAAGCAGGAAAGCAGGGGTGGCAAGTTGTGACCTGCAGCCCCTTGGTGGGGTGCAGCCCCCCAGCGCACACCCATAAACTGCTCCTCGCTGTCCTTTCCAGAGGTGTCCTGGATGTGAACAAGGGATGAGGTGTGACCCACCTGAACCTGTGGTGTTTGCCATCTTGGAGAAACAAAGTGCCTGAGCTCGCATGCTACTTCTGAGCTTCTGCAGTTGAAAATGTTGATCTTCGCTTCTTAACTGCAGAACTTGACTCAGAATGAGGGCTGGTGGCCATGGGGCGAGGAACTGCTCAGTTAGCCCGTGCTTGCTAACAGGGAAAATGTCTCTCAAAGAATATGCTAATGAGAATGAAGATGTGAAGTGCTGCCGCGCAACAGGCAGCCTCTGACAGCAAATGCCTGGGAAACAGGGTTAGAACAGAAGCACCTTCTGCTTGTTATGAAAGTCCCTGTTAGATCGCTGATGTCAGTCACGTGGGTTAAAAAAATGTCCTTTCTAGTCTGTGCAGAGGTCAGAAGTAGTGTCATTAACACACACTAATCACCAATCTTTTTCTGTTTTACTGCCTCCTTGAATTCACCTGCTGACGGCAACGCTTCCGTCCCATCAGCAGGAGGTTTGTTCCACTTCTTGGCTTCCTTTATTTTACTCACTGTGTTACTTTGCCAAAGCATTACCTGGGTACGCTCAGCGGGGCTGCGGCAGCGCTGGCCTGCCCACTGCTGTGGCTCACACAGGCTTTGGCAGGCGCCATACGCGTGCGCTGCCCCTTCCAGGTCAGGTCTGAGAGCGTCCCCAGAGCTGCAGGTTCAGAGGAACAGAGACGCTGTTCTGATCACAATTACACAACTGGATTTAATGTTGGAAACGTAACATTCAAAAATGATCTATTGGTGGTGGGTTGAGACCTACTGATGTCTCAGATGCGTTGGTTGGGTGGAACTACCCAGCTCCCTGGACAGAAATCACCGTGAGGGGCTGAGAGGACCTTTGGGATGTTCCTGTCCCTTGTTCTCTGTCACACAGTGACCCAGCGGTAAGAGCTGATGCAGATCTGCACGTGGCATGTGGAGGGTTGGTTATTCCTTTGTCGCTTGCGTTCTCTGAAGCGCCGTCCTCAGCCTGCTGACTCTCCTTGTTCTTGGCTATCACAGATTGACTTCCTGAACTCGGTGATAGTAGATCTGCAAAGGAGAAACGAAGAACTGAACTTGAAAATACAAAGAATGTGTGAAGCAGCCCTCAATGGCAATGAAGAGGAGCTAAATAACTGTGACAGGTACAAATCCCAAAGGGAACCCTTGGTTTGTGTTTTGGGAAGTGTTGGTAGCAGCCAGTTCTGTCAGCTGCACAGCGCACCAGCCTGATTCCCGCTGTCGGGAAGGACACACGCAGCTTTCTCTCGAGTTCAGGGTGACTGAACCAGCCTCCTGTTTAGTCCATTGCTGTGGTGTGTGTGGTGGTGCAAAGTGATCCTCTGTAGTTATCGACCACAGTCGCTGATGTGTCATTAACGTATTTATTGTCAGGCTTGGTTGAGTCTGGTTCTTTCCAAACTAAGTAGAAGAGTCTTTGCTCTCAGGAGGCCGGTAGCTGCACTGAGATGAGGAGATCCAGTCCAGAGAAATAGAGCTAAAAGCTATTTGATATCTTGTGACTTCAGATCTCTTCTACCGAGAGAAAAGAGAAACTAGTTTACATGGGTTTCTTTTTTTAAACGATGTCTGTGCAAATATTTACACAGAGCAGTTTGTTTGGTAAACATTTAGAATAAGGGATTCTGGGGGCACTGCAAGGCAGTCAGGATGTCAGAAGGGATTTTGTTGGGTTTTTTCTTCACTGTGGTGTTTCCTCAGTCTCAGTAATTGTGAGTCAGGTCACTGTGCAGGGCGGGGAAGTGGGCCTTTCTCCTTTATGAGGGAGGAGTGCCCGGCTTGACTCGCGCTGGCGCTGATCTTGCAGCGAGGAAGAAAGCTTGTCAAAGAAGAAACCTCGTCTCTTCTGCGATATCTGTGGCTGCTTTGATCTGCACGACACTGAAGACTGTCCGACCCAGGCACAGATGCTGGAGGAGCCGCCCCACTCAGCTTATCACGGCAGCAGGAGAGAAGAACGTCCCTATTGCGATACCTGCGAGATGTTCGGGCACTGGACAGCCGACTGCAACGACGACGAGACCTTCTAATGCAGCGCGCGGCCGCGAGCAGACCCTGCGCGCCCCGGCCGGACGATTTACACCACCAGCATCGGTCTGTGCTGAATGTCAGGAACAGGGACAGCGTTTCCTGCCCCCCTCGCTCCCGTTCCCCTGCCCATCCACTCCAGAATCAGTACATTGATCGATATTTTGCTCCTCCACTAATAAATTCCCTATCTCCCTTTAGTAAACTTAAGTGACATTATAAATAAATGGTTTAACAAAGGATTTTATGCTGTTTCTTCCCAGGTTCTGGGGTTGTTCCCACTCTTAACAAGAAATGCCTCTGTGCTGTTGCATCTGCCACTGGGAAAACATGTATAGGAGCGAAGCACTAGAGTTATATTAAAGCTATTTAAATACCTTAAAATTATGCTGTTAATTTTCATATTTGCACTAAAACCATTTTAAGGCTGAATTTGTACATTTAAATTTTTAAGCTTTTTTTTTTTTTTTGACACTGGACTGGGTTGAAAAATATTTCCTCTTTATTTTCATTTACTCATTTGATTGTGATTGTGTTCAGTGGCCGTGAGCTCTGGGTTGCTGTTTGCTGATGGTGAAACATGAACTGAGGAAGCAGGTAAGGAACGGAGCTCCCGCGGGGTTTTTGGAACCCTGTACGCTGTGCACACCTCCACCAGTTTGTGGGACATCTTTTGGGGTTTTTGCATTCTTTCAGCTTCTCTCTAGTGTGTGTGTGTGTGTGTGTATATATGCATATATATATATATTAAAGTTATATTTTGGAAAAAAAAAAAAAAAGGTGTGTTTTCTTCTGTGTCTTTCTGTTGGGTTGGGAATGTCGTGGGCTCTGTGTGGGGACGCTGGAAACAGAGAGAGCGTTGGGAGTGGTGTGGGATGTTTTTATGAAGGCTTCATGGGAGCCCTCATAGAATCAGAGAGGGGTGGGGTTGGAAGGGACCTCAGGAGATGATCCAGGTTCCCCAGAGCAGGTTGCACAGGAA